AATCTATAAAGAAATCTACTGATAAGGGAGAAAGAGAGATTGTCCCTATGTTTACCCACCCTGCTTTTCTTCTTCTTATTCTTCCTTTTATTCTTTTGCTTTGAAGCTTTGCACTTTTTATCTTTGCTTTATTTATGTCCTCCAACAGCAATGCAGACTGCAGAGTGTGTTAAAAATGGGCGTTCCGGTGTTTGGAGAACGGACCTCAGTCCCTCCTCCATGAGCTGTGAATGAGTTAAGAAGGTCTGAGAATCTTGACAGGGCGGGACAGGATTCGGGTCTTTCCCTCTCGACCTCGAACGAAGTGAAGCAGTGAAGTAATGTGACAGCAGAGAACCCCAGAAACCTGAAACTCATAAATCTTGTCCTTGCTTGACCTGACCAATGAATTCATTTCCTAGCTATACCATGCTCCCCCTTGCTTCAAAGATTGTTTGGTGAGACATGAACATTTGGAACAATTATCCAAATAATCCTTAAACTTTGACCCACTATACAAAATAATTTATAGACTTTTAAATTATTCAATGTGGTCCATAAATTTTAACTCGATATGTAATATCGTCCTCAGAATGTGGCCCCTGAATATTTGGTACATGTTCAATCTGTTCCCTTGTCTGTACGAAAATGTTCAATATCGTCTCTGAACTTTAATTGATAGAATGATAACATTGGATATTTACATATAGTTTAGGAATGGGCCACAAAGAACAAATTATGAGTTCGGGAACGGCATTGCACATTCGGTCAAAATTTAGGAATCACATTACACATTGGGTTAAAATTCATGGGCCATTTGTGTCGTTTTCCCTAAATATATCATTTTCTTAAGAATTCTGTTAAAAATTTTCAGGATTGAAGGAGCGACAAATCCAAAAAAAAAAATAGTCACGTTTCTTAGTACATCTAAAATTTTACCAAGTCGATGATGAAAATTACAAAAAAAATATTTAGAAAATTACTAGAATTTCTTTTTTTTAGCCGGTACTATAATTACTGTAACTTGTTATTTGTTTTGGAACGGCCGGAACTGATCTGTGCAGTCGGGCCTCTCGGGGAAATGAAGCGCTGCCTTTGACCAAGGTGAATTCTTCGTCCGAGATTGACCGACATTTTTGGCGCCGCGCTTGGCGTGTCGCTTTCTGTTCCCTGGCCTCGACAATTCATGTCGTTTTATTATAAGGCCGATGAGCGATCGTTGCAGATGTATGAAGAAGTAATACGATCGATTCGGAGAATCTATGATCTCGAAGTAATTACTGGATAGTTCCATGCAATTTTGATTAGCGATAATAAATGAGAGTGCTTTATTATTAGTTAATTAAAAAAATATAGAGCGACACTAAATGTCGTTTTGCCGAATCTTCTAATGGAAGAAAGCACTCAAGAAGCGTCAAGAAGAGACGAGGAGAATCTAGTGGCAAAAATCCCCCAGCGAGGGAGGAAGACTTAAGTCCGAAGCAATGGCGTGGTGGGCCAAAATCGGATACTTTGAACGACTGATTTTGTAAATCGATGTTGGTATTTCTAAGATATAATGATACAAATGGTCCGTAAACTTTAGCTTGACATGCAATGAGGTTCACGAACTTTTAATTTGTTCAATGCGGTCTCTGAATTTTAGTTCAACATGCAATGTGGCTCCCGAATTTTTAATTTGTTCAATGCGGTCCTTGAACTTTTGGTATATGTTCACACTAGTTTCTAGACTATATAAAATTATTCGATGTCATTCTTTGACTTAATTAAATGGAAGGATAACATTGTACATTTTCATATAACCCAGGGACTGGTTTGAACATATACCAAAAGTTTTATGGATCACATCGAACAGATTAAAAAGTTCGGGAGCCACATTGTACATTAAACTGAAGTTCAGGGATCGCATCGAACAAATTAAAAGTTCATGTACCATGTTACGCATTTGATCAAAGTTCGAGATCATTTATGTAAATTTTCCCTATTTCTAATGAAGCATCTTATGGAAAAACATGGGGCGCTCCATCGACATCATCCGGGTCGGACCCGTGAGATGGAAGAAAAGGGGCGGAATTAGCTCACGTGCCACGTGCATCTTTTTCAGGCATTCTGAGTCAGTGCCGTGGGATTCGAGACGTCTTGGCCCCGGAAAAGACAGAAAGCGGGAACCTCCAAAGATTGGGTTCGTTCGCGGATGGATTTGTGGGTTACCTACCCACGTTACGAACAGACGTCTCTTCCCCAAAAGCAAAACATGGGCTGTTCTTTGCTAGCTTTGAGCCCTAATACGACGGGCCGTTTTTCCATCTACTGTAGTTGTAGTTGTAGTTGTAGTTGTAGCTGTAGCTGCAGCAGCTCTTTGCCTTCTAAAAGTGGGGGCTTGGCTTCTTATCTGAGTCATAGGAACTTGGGGTTTTTTGCTTGGATTCTGAACTTAGATTACGCAAGATTTGCGTTGAATTATCAACGTAATTATAGTCAATAACGCCCCGTCAATGCACGATGATGTGAGGATCATTTGGACTGGTTTTGTGGTGGGATATCGATCAGGAATGACGGGGGCGGGTCGTGTAGTTGAATGATCCCATGTCATGGTCTCTTTTGATGGGTGACGGGTAAAAGTTCCCCCATCGACCACTAAACAAGATTGGAACCTTCCTTCGAACATAATAATACTAATAAAGCTTGACAAGCTTGTGCCGGCGTCGACCTTGCACCACCTGCCCAGCTCCACCTTGTCGTCGTCGTCGACGAGCTAGTCGTAGCGACGGCGACAGGAAGGTCCTCCAGACTTGGTGGTCACATCTCAGTCGTGCCCTCCTGTTTGGGGGGGAATAGATCGTGCCGCTAGGGAAATGGCCGTGTGGCGTGAGGGCCGAGTTCACGAGCTGTTGGTGGCGCCATCGACGGAAGCAGTGATCGGTGGTTATCGCGGTGGCGGGGCGGCGGCGGCGACAATGGGAGCAGGCATAATCGCCACACGAGATACTTTATTTTTATCCGTAGGCCCCTAAGGAGAAGGAAAAGCTACCTCCATCTCTCCGGTGGCTGCGCATTAACGTTGCTGCCTAATGGCGAGTTGTATCTAATTGGGCTTTAGGTTGGTGCATGAGGCCTAAGTTTAAGTGGCTTTCATTGTTCTCTTGTCCAAACCTTAAGTCTAAACTTTAATTGGATAATTTCTATTCATTCCCCGGAATATATCAAGTCATTAAGGCTCCGTTTATTTCGCGAAAAATGAATAATTCATAATATACTTTTATAAAAATGATCACATATAACACCTAAATAATTAATTAATGAAAAATGTTTTCATCATCGATAGCAATTTATATTTAAATATTTTTTTAAACGTTGAAAATATTTTTTATTTATTCATTCTATAAGCGATACAGATGACCATTTTTTGAAAAAAAAAATTGTTTTCAAATCGTTTGTTTCCGCGAAACAAACACGCCCTAAATGATCTTCATTTGGCTATTCAATTCCATCAGAAAAGGATTGTTTCTGTCCAACACCATGGAATAGATATTCATGTTAAAGGCCAAAAGGAGTGTTACAAAGGAGGGTGCATGTTCTTTCCACATGCCACCAAAATATGCAATGAAGGTATATAATATTTCATTCATATTTATCGAGGGAGACAAAAGGAGAAATTTCATTGAATAAAGGTAAATTTCCAAAAGGAGAAATAGCAATAAAAATCGTCGCGATTTTCCATATGTATATTTTATATTTCATCAACACCTTTTTATCGTTTCCCTACGTATCTATGGAAATTTCCATTACGACCGTATTTTCTTGACAAAAAAAAGCTAGCTTTTTAAGTTATATTTATACAAGAGAGCTTAAATGCTAATGAATTAAAAGGCTGGTATGAAGCCGGATGAATATTCTCCCATTTGGAAGATAAATACAAACAAAAGAAAAAAGGGAGTGGGGGAAAATCCAAGAAAGCATAAAAACAAAAGCAAGGGAAAAATCATGATTGGAAAAAAATAATTTAACGGAATATTCGCTTTCACCACCGTCGGTATCGCAACTTCTGAAATCGATTTGAATTAAAAACTCGAGCACTCTTTTTTTTTTTTCCCTTTTTGAGAGAGGAAAAGAAGGTCGGAATTAAAGAAGCCGGGGCGCAGAAGGCGAGCCTTACTCCGGCGGTCGTCCTCGGGCGAGAGCGACGTGGCCTCGCGGCGGAGGCCACGAGGCATGGTCCTTAGACACTGAGAATTTGCAACCTAACCCGTTCAGGGTCTAATGAAAAATGCAGGAGGCATGGTCCTCCACCTACCAAAATGCTTCACGTCTTTGGCAAGAATCGTCCATCTACCTAATGGCCATGATCAATACCTATTTTTTACAAATATGACTATTATTATTATTATTGTTATTATTGTTATTGTTATTATTTTATTTTAGGTAAAAGACGGAGGCCATTATTTTCATGTTATTATAGAATTACCAAAATTCGCGGTAATCGGATGACAGATCCGGACGCGTCCGGTTCTTGAACGTCGTTTGTCCACATTTTTTTTCGTTCCAGACGTGGAAAGAAGCCGAGCCATCGGTTGGTTCCTTCCTTTTGGTCCCATTAAACTGGTGGGGTCTTGATTCACCTACGACTACGAACTTACGAAGCACGTGGTATACGAGATAACGACACGAATGATTCGTAAAATTTAGCTCAATATGTAATGCGATTCATGAATTTTCGATTTATTCAACATAATCCCCTAAACTTTAACTCGATATGTGATATGCGTGATCTTTGAAATTTCAGTGCATATACCGAAAGTTCAGTCACCACGTTGAATAAATTAAAAGTCTATGAATCACAGTGTACGTTGGGCTACAATTCAGGAATTATATTGAACAAATTGAAATTTCATTTGCGCGGAGGGGTTTACGGATTTTTATTTTATTTAAATTACTACTGGTCAACAAAAAAAAACTAGGTTTATCATCTCCACGATAATGGAGTCCGCATCTCCCACCTCCCATTCCTCTTAAGCATCCTCTCCATTTCTTCCTTTCCTTCTTCCTTCCTCCTTCCTCCTCCTCCTCCTCTGTTGGTTCTTGGCACTGCCTTGGAGCTCTCAAAAACCAAAGCCATGGGCCTCCTCAGATCGGCGGCGGGCGACGCCGTCCTCACCTGCCTCTGGGTCACCAGCGTCTCCACCGTCGGCACCCTCACCTACCTCGCCGCCACCGCCCTCTCCGTCCCGCCCCAGTCCGCCGCCGGCCTCCTCCTCACCACCGCCCTCGTCGCCGCCCTCGTCCTCCTCTTCAGCGTCCTCGGCGCCCTCCTCGGCGGCGCCAGCTTCAACCCCGCCACCACCGTCGCCTTCCGCGCCGCCGGCCTCCGCCCCGACGCCTCCCTCCTCTCCATGGCCGCCCGCTTCCCCGCCCAGGCCGCCGGGGGCGTGGCCGGCGCCAACGCCATCCTGCGGCTGATGCCGGCCGCGTACAGGCACATGCTGCGGGGCCCGTCGCTGAAGGTGGACCTGCACACGGGCGCCGCCGCCGAGGGCGCGCTGACCTTCGCCATCAGCCTCGCCGCCCTGGTGATCTTCGTGAAGGGGCCGAGGAGCCTGCTGGTGAAGGTGTGGCTGCTGGCGATGGCGACGGTGGGGCTGGTGGTGGTCGGGTCGAGCTACACCGGGCCGGCGATGAACCCGGCGAACGCGTTCGGGTGGGCGTACGTGAACGACCGGCACAACACGTGGGACCAGTTCTACGTGTACTGGATCTGCCCCTTCGTGGGTGCGGTCTTCGCCGGTTGGGCGTTCAAGCTCCTGTTCCCAGTCCAGAAACCCAAGGAGAAGAAGGCCTGAAGAAAGAACACACGAGGAACAAAAAAAGGGGGTTCGTCTTTTCCGTCGATTCTTGCTCTTCGATCTCTTCACCTTGTCGATGTGAACAATCGAATTCGAAAGGGACAAATCCCAACCGCCATTAACGCATGTGTAGAAGCTTTGGGTGACTGTAGTCTAGAACAGAGCGAGCTTTTGAACACCGCGCAGGTTCTGAAAAGCGAAAAATGAAAAACCCATCGTCCCATCTCTCGCGTTCGATCAGCTTCTTGCATCTTCTTCTGCACCTTCTCCTGGCGTTTGTCGATTGCATTTCCAGTTCTCTTTTTCATCAGTGACGAGCAGATGTTTGCTAGTCTGATGTCGCATTCGATATGGAAAGATCTTTCAGGCCGCGAGACATCGTTTTCTGGAATTGATCGTGGGGTGGGGAGGGGAGGGGATGAATGGGAGATTCTTGGACGCAAGTAAGTCCTGTTCTCATCTGCAAGTTTCGGCGGGTGGAAGAGTCGTGTAAAAGATTCCCGCTCCCCCATCCGACCAATCAGGAAACCAGGATACTGCTACTCGCAAATGCAAATGCAAATGCAGATGCAGATGCAAAGGCATCTCTTTTTCCTTTTCCAATTATTATAAGAAAAAAAAAACCCTTTTAAAAAACCCTTCTCGCATATTCAAAACCTATATTTTGCGCTATAATCCGAAAAGGGTATCCGGCCTCCTCGTGCACACCCGAAATCTGCCAAAAAAATAATAAAATTTGAAGTACAATATCGAGAATGTGTTAATATGCGGACGAAAATGACAATCTATAAATACTATGTGTAAGTAGGAGATGTGACTTGAAATCCGATGGAAAAAGAAATAATTGTAAATTTTAAAATGTGGCGAAGATACTTTATATGGAGGCAAGGTTGAAAATCACAATTTGTATTCTCTTAACTTTTTTTTTGTTGTCCCCAATTTGTTGGTAGGTCGAGCTATACAAAATATGATTCTGATGTTAAATAAATTAAGAGCTACCCTCACGAAGTTAGGTGGCTCGTGCTGGCGGAATCAGACCACCACCACTTTTCACGTGAGGGCCCACCAACTCACGTCACTATCACGATCTCTTTATTATGTTCGGCGTAAAAAATCGAAATGCAATCGCCTGGATTTGGATGGGCTCTTAGCTTACTGACGAGGTGGGAATTTGATGGGCTTTTAACACGCAATTCCCAAGGGCCGACCGAACTCTATTCTGAACACATTCCCGAGAGCCGAACCAAACGCACCATTTCATCGTGCCGGGACGGAGTAGAGACAGCCGATTCCGATCCGTTTCCCACGAAACCAGGGTAGCGATGAGGACTCCTAGGAAAGCAAGATTGAGCATATTACAGGAAGAATCGGGGTAGATCCTGGGGTCCAAAACGGTGACTTTGCTTGGAATATATTCCCTTGGGAAGGAATTGCCGGTAAACATCAACTTTAACCATAGTGAAAGGTGCAAATTAGTGGAACTCTTTTATCCTGTGAAAGAGGCGAGGTCGTATCGTCGAATCGACCGTGCCCTTTTCATCCACTTGCTGTGCTGGAAAAACCACGACGAGTATGTCCGGTTGATTGTTTAACGGCATCGTGCTAACGTGCCACCGGCACAAATTGCATCCTAATCGAGTTTGGTCCGGTCTTTCGACTCGGAATTGGTGTCTGGCCATTGGCGGTTGTCCCTGACACTTCAGTCCTTATCGATGGCATTAGAAAGGGGGAGCCTGTGTCATCAGCATGGACTATCCCTCCGCATAACCGAAGGGGGAGGGCAAAACAGAGGTCAATAGAGAAACTCTCTGCTGAGGATCATGCCTCTCATTATCCATTTGGAGTGCATGACACAGAAGAGTTCTCCGGAGCATAAACCACCCTATGCAACTCTAAAGCCGAATTGAGCTATTCTCCTTTTTTTCGTCGCGACGAGAATACTCATTATCGAGTGAGCAAGCTCCGAGTCCGTAAAGGCCGAGTGTTCGGGAATGGCCCTTGCGACGGAGGTGTTCGTGGCTAATAGACAAGGAACAAGAAGATAAGGGAAGAGAAAACCAAACCAACTCAGTATGCATTTATTGTTATTGTGCATAAGAAGTGGTAAATACTCGTGACAACTGACATCAAACAAGAAAAGAAAGCGCGATTTCGCGCTGAAAAGACCCAATTAGGAAACATATTATTTGCCAGCATGCGCTGCGCGCATGGAACTCACCATATTCTTCATAAATTACCTACAGAAGGAATCCGATGATAACCGCGCACGGTCTGGCGGTCTTGCAATATCTAACTGTGGGACAACATTGAAGTCACAAAGGGGAACTCGTCACACAAATGATGAGGAAGACTTATACCTCAGGCATGTCTGTGGAGAGAAGTGGCGGCGCGGATAGACAAACTGGGCGTAGCCCAATCTGTCATTCTGAGCCGCTTCGCCGCTCCTTTCTGGGGCTCTATTTCATGGTGGATGTGCAACCCGATATATGAAAACATCGCAAGGTAAAAGAATTTCCACCGAATACCAATGAACGAATGCTTTTTTACTTGTCGTGGTCGAGGATGAACTGCTACAACTCCAAGCAATACCGTGCCGATTCAATGATAGAGTCTTCTGAGGTTCCATTCACGTGCAAGAGAGCAGACAGAACTGCTGAATTAATAGCGTCCACAAAGAAATCGTTTCAATTCTGCAAAAGCGTCACGTTCAGAGTACTGAAACCAGTGCAGATAATGCTTCAGACTCCGAAGAATTCGTCACAAATCAGACACATTTCAAAGCTTGCCTATTAAGAGTGCCGACAATGGCAGCGAAACAATCTACATCTCCTTGCACACTCCATTTAGTAGCCCGATCACCAACATCATCCTGAACATTTCCTTTGGTTTTTGTCTTCAGCTTCTGTCGATCTCTCGTGGTTTTTATATTTGAATCAGGCCAATGTGCACACGTTCAGAACCGATTAGCAACAACTCCACGACTCTGCAAGCTGAAGGCCACAATCAAACTCATCTCTGAACTGGTCCTCTATGCAAACGAATGCTGCTGCTTCAACACTGCATAAAAGAATCCAAGTCTCACCAGAAACATACTTTCTTCGAGTCGCTTGAACAGTGGGATGGGCGGGCCGGTGACCAGTTAACCCATGATCCACAAAGCAGGACTTCCACTCGAAACTATTCGAACCTGTATATGCATTATCGGCACAACTAATCACAAGAAAGGCCTTGTTAAAAATAAAAGGACAACACACTAGATCGAAGGGGGATTTGGCAAGTTGTTCAATAGTAGCTGCAAACCAATCAATTGCTATTATTGAGTTATACATGTAGGGACCGTGCCATGGTGGTCGGAGACTAGTGGACAAAGTTCGAAATTAATACTTAATGAGCAATAACAAAGCTCTGGGGACTAGAGCAGAGATGGCCCATGTGTGGAAATCTCCATGAAAAGCATGACCATAAACAAAAGGGAATGTAAAGCTAGATTAGGTACAGAGAATCTTGTGGAGTTAAATTATCATGATCGAGTGATGGTGACTTCTTATGTGTGTTAACTTGCAGAGAGCACAGCAGATTTTGATGAGTAGAGCCTACACGTCAACGGCTTATGAACCAGTCAGTCAGCATCGTTGCTCTGTATAAATTGCAATTTCCCATATCCTCTCAAATGTCAGAGACTTTCTCCTGGTAATAGCTCAAACAAGATTGACCCAAAAAGATTAACAATAGATCTTTTTATTAAGGAAAATGGAACTTCAAGTAGGTGAGATGCCATAAACATCAGGAATCAAATCTGCTGCAAATCAGCAGATGGATTGAGGAACCAAAATGCACATGGATTGGAAATGAATACTTTCAAGGGTTTACATAACTAAACATGCAGGCAAAGTCCATTCACTTCAAGCTACGATTTGAATTGGAAAGTCCAGTACAACCCTTGTGTGGTGAATTGGTGAACAGCATATGTGAAGACCAAATTCAAACTCTCGCAAAAATGCATTAGTTCAAGCACACAAAAGAACAAAAAAATCGTAGTTCTCCTCTAAATGAAAACCTGATCTATGTAATCAATTCATGAAAAAAGGGTAATCTGACAACATTCCACAAAAATAATAAAAACAAAAGAAACTCAGTCCTTTCATTTCAGATTTATGAGAGCTTGCTGATTCATTTCTTATGTTGACAAAAACATTTCTAATGGAAAATTTTCTTCTAAGCAGAAATCAACAGGAGCATATGTTTAATTTGAGGTTACAGAAGGTAATAAATATCACTGAAGCACGACCCTTTTGCAACGAAGGTGAGAAAAGAGGGAAAAGATTAATTATACCTTTTCTCTGTCGTAAGGAAGATGAGTTGGTGAAGAAGAGCGAAGGGTGTGCAACATCTCACAGCCCCAAGCAGCCTGCGAGTGCAGTTCAGCAAATGTGGGCTTATTTTATAGCGTGGCGACGGGGCAAAGAAGAAGGCCAGATTCATTGAACCTGGTCCCGTTCTCGGATTCACGGTGTCGTAAAAGACCATAGACGACAACATCAATTCCCCTTTAGGCTTTAGCAGACAGACACGTTTGATGATCTCAAGACGCTTTTTCCAAGCAGAGTGGCGACCACCGAATCACCTTCGACGGTATACGAATTACGGGCTGCGAGAAGAGGAGGGACTTTTTCACATAAAGCTTGCACGCGGATGGATGGTCTGAGTAGGGTTGACAATTCGTGATGCCAAGTATAGAGAACCTAGTTAGTAGCTAATGAGCGTCCTGGTGACACTTGTTAAATACTCGATAAAAGTTCGACAAAAAAAAATACTCGATAAAAGAAGGTTTTATCGCTTTCATTGTCCTGACTGCTTTCGTATTACGTGTAATCAATTTTAATAAGTGAATTGTTACATATTTAACCAACATCTTTAGTACGCTTTTTGACTTCACTCATATATAAGCATGTTGATGAGGGGTGTAAAATATGTTATTGAACTAATATGTTAAGTATGGCATGATGGGTTTACTGAGTCGACATATTAACTGGCTTTCCATAGTTTTACTCGATTTCAAACATGGTCATCTAAAGAGTTATTTGCACTCCGTCACATCACTTTATATTTTAATTTCCTTTCGGGATTATGTCATCAGTGTCCTCTCTACTTTTGCTCGAAATTCAAAACTGTACTTCTACTCCTTTTCTTTTTCTTTTTAATGTTCAAAATGGTTCTCGCACTTTTTAAGAAGTGCTATCGTTCGGCTTTGCACCGTTCCAATGACGGACTTAGCTGATTGCTGACGTGAACTTGATGTCGTTGAAAACTATTGATGTAGGTTTAATTTTCAAAGCAACGCCAAAACATGGATTGCATATGTGAAATTCTTTTCATGATTCAAAATGCTCTCTGCTCTCTCTCTCTCCCTCTCTCCCCGTGTATGTATTTTCACCATCAATAGAGATTCGAATCGATGGAGTTCTACTTCCCATTCACTTCTCTAAAACATCTTAGACTTCAACCTTGAGCGGACTCTTGCAAAAAGAAGTAGAGAGATAGTTTTGAATTTCGAGTAAAAATGTAGAGACTCCAGTAACGTCATCCCTTTTACCTTTTTTTAAATATCTTATCATTATAAATCTGCGAAAGTAAGAAGCATTCTTGATAATAATGTCCAATTTTTTTTTTTGTAAATTGCGTAACTTAGGACTTGTTTTTCTAGAAATTACTGCATTTTTACAAGGGTTTTTATCATAATCATGACCACAGAAGAAAATTGCTTTCGCAAGCATTCTGCTTTTTAGATTAAGACCTTGTAATCTTTGAAGTGGGAAAGTGCCATTTGATCAATCGTTTATGGATTTTACTTTGTTTCACCACCACAAAATTTACTAGTATCTCCACGTCCATGTTTTACCACATCAAAAGTCATTGAAGGGTAGAAGATTTTTCTCACTCAGCAGTTAATGTACACACTATAATCCATTCAATTCCCTCGGAATGTTTCCCACTTAATCAAGACTACAAGAAATATAGAGAGAGAAATTATTCTTGTATGTTGCACTGGACTCAATAGTTTCACTATATTGATAAGGTGAATGATAAAATTATTAATAGATAAGTGCATTGGAATTACTAAAACTTGTCACGAAAGTGCAATTGGGTCCTAAAACTTTCAAAAAGGGCAATAAAATCCTAAAACTTTTTGCAAAAGTGTAATCGAATTGTAAAACTTTCAAAAAGTGTAATCAAGTCTTAAAACTTGTCAACTTGATCTAATCAGGACTTGATTGCACTTTCGTAACAAGTTTTAGAACTTAATTGAACTTTTTAAAAGTTTGAGAACTTAATTGTACTCTCATAATGAGTTTTAAGATTTTTAAATAAAAATTTCTCTTACGGAAAATTTAAACTTTATTTTTCGTAAAGGTTCCATCTACTGCAAATTCGGGAGAATAACATGACAACAGTCTTACATCGTTATTCCACCAAAAAAAAAAACAGTCTTACATCGTTTGATAATGACAGCAACCATATCTGTCTCCACCAACTCAAGTCGGGTCGAATAGAGAAAACCAATAACTAAACAGAATTCGTCACATCAAGGGAGAGTGTTCATACTGAACTTCGGGACTAGATTGCCAACCAATACCCAGCTTCTAGAATTAATAACAATAGGCAATATAAAATTCGGGTTAAGGCGTCCGGGTTTAAGACTCGGATTAGCTCTCTGATGCTTGAGTCAGTGACTCGAAAAGAAGAAGGGTACAAAGAACTCGAATTGTGGGATTTTTGATAGTCCAACCCCTCCCCGGGACGAGCTCTTTCTCATATATAGATGTTTTTCTTAGCGAGCTGTCGAATTGTCACTAACGGGTGATGACTCTTTGTGACAGTTGGCAATTATATGTGCACAAATTTCCATCGGTAAGGACACTTGGCTTCCTGACAATGCGTAGTGCTCTATAGTGGTCAAACCGTTCGGAGAACCAGTGCATGCATGGCTTTTTAGTTATAGCGGCACCATTGTGATTACCAATTTGATAAGGGTTAAGTGGTGTATAATCTACATTCAATGCAATCAGAATGAATGATCTCTCGAAGGTATAGTCTTGTCGGGACAATCCCGTCACTTTGCCACGCAGAGTCCTTCGATAGGTTCCGTAAAAGCTCCTTACAAAGGGAACAAAATTTCCGCCAAAAAAAATGACAAGAAGAAAATGCATTCCTGAAATTATTGAGAAACTTCAAGGGACATCACATCCTCCCTTGGCGAACATCATGTACTATCAATTAAGTGCTCCCTTTTTCGTGTCATGTGTATATATATATATATTTTGTCTCACTCATCTCTTTTATATATAAACGTGATTTATCACAGGGATCGAACTCTGAACCTAGTACTCTCCACCCTCAAAGCTCTTTATCAGCTGGGTCACATGCCTAATAGCATGTGCATAGAGCATTAATTTGAGTAATTAGTGATCCTACACTTGCATATTCTATGGTATGGACACTGTACGATGCTGTCCTGTTTTCGTAAGGAAAAGAGAGCACGGAGACGACAAGTTGGACTGAATTCAGAGGTTCTGATTTTGTGAACATGACCACTGATTTTACCTCCCAGAAATAGCACGTAACAAAAGAAAAAAAAGGGGAAAAAGAAAGGAAATGAGAGGATCTATTCATGGACCCCAGAAGAAAACCAACCAACAGGTTTGACAGCATAACTCGAACACTCATGTAGTCAGCTTCCCTTATGACTTCCAACTTTCGGTGGTTCTAATTTTTTGCCACCATGTCTTATTACTTTTTTCTCTAAAGTTTCTTCGGTCTAATCTTTCAATGGTCAACAGTAGATATTGCGTTAGAATAATAGTAGTTCAGTCACGACGTACCCTTCGAGTGAACCACTTAGGGTTGTGGCTAATGGATTACTAAACTTACACCTAATTCGGACTCTCTTAAGTCCATACCAATTCGCAACTTAAATTCAATCTTTAACATGCAAATTAATTTCATTTTGGAGTCGTCCCTAATCAATTTTTAGATCAAACTACCGACCATATGCACGTTGTCAAATTAGGAAATAATCCTAATTGAATAATGACTAAAATCTCAGATATTGAAGTTAGATATCAATCTATCAAAAATAGGCTGTAAATCAATAATTCAATTTAAATCCGAATAAGATTTTTACCTAATTTGAAGACCGACGGCTAGGGCTCATGGCGACTGGTGGACGATGGTGGGTGCTCTCGGTGATGATGACCGGTGAGGGGGGAGGGGACAGCCCGTCGTCTTGGCAGTTAACGGTGAGGAGAATTCTCAATCGATGGTCGACAACCTGCAAAACAAAGGAATTATAGGTGCTGCTCGGCGCAGGGATAGGTGTGACTGCAGCTCGATGTCACAGTGTAGGTGCAGCAGGGATCGACGGCAAGGACAGCAACTCGCTAGGAGCAGGCGCGGTGAGGCGAGGGCTTGGCTCATGGCAGTGGACACCAACGACGCAGGTGAGTGTTGCGGTGGAGTCGGGAGCTTTGTCATCACGGTGCAGGTAAGTCAACAGGCCGTTGTGGTGGTCGGTGCAGCAGCTCATGGGGCTGGGAGATCAGCAGCGGCATCGAGCTCGATGGAGCTAGAGTAAGGACGGCGCCGGAGTCTCGGTCAGGGACTCGGCCAGGAGCGGGTCACAAGGCTCGGTCATGGCGAGGATGTGGCCGTGAGACGCTTGGCCGTAGGGTCTGTCACGGCCGATGGTGGGGCCGTGAGGTGCTTGGCCGCGGGCTCTTTCTCTCGTGTGTTTTCTCTTTTATGTGCTCTTTAACTTCTAATTGTTGACCTCTTAATTATGAGGCGTAAACATCTATTATGTTGCGAGCTAGGTTTAACTGCATTAAGCTGGCCCAACCTCATTAAAGGATTAAATGGGATATATATCATTAAAACCAAGGCCTTCACATTAATCCCAACTCACATGGGCTTAACGCAACTCTAATCGAAGTCCAGAACCTTCTTTTCCCTTGTAAATTTTGGCCACAAAGGTCCCCATAGGCTTGGCCGAGTTTGATTTCTCTTGTGAGCTCAATTAAGGTTAAAATTCTCAATAAATTTCAGCCCTAAATATATGGATTTAACCCATCTCATTAAAGCTCAGAAGCTCACTTTTCGTATGTGATTTACCGCTACTGTCACCCCATGCTTGGCCCAATTTTGCTACTCCTCATGGGCTCAGTCCATAATCCATCGCCGGTCTAATTAAAATGCGATTTTTCTGATTTTATTTATATGCCATGAAATGCTTCTAAAAACCATATTCAATCTCATTTAAAGTTATTTTTGCTAGGGGTCGGGATTGATCCCTAATTTTCTATGCAATAAATTATTATATAATTAACCAACGGTTCTTTCTACTGTTGCTAATCATAACATGAATGAGAACCCGTCATCAAACTTAAGATAAAGCAAGACTTCAGAGTATGTTCGGTTTGATAAGACTTACTTTTAACTTTGGGACAGCTCTGCTCCTTATATCGGGTTACGAAATGAGAGCCGGAATGGCATTAAACATTCAAAGTTGACACCTATAAACCTTGTGTAGAACTCTTGACATTTTTCAACATTTTGATTCAACCACTTGGATGCCAAAACCATCCATACGCAGGAAAAGGTCCGGCATGTTAATCTCACGCCATTCCTTAGTTACGACCAAATGCAGGAGTAATGCCAATTCCGTTCTATGTCTCGCCCAATTTCACTACGAACTCATTCCATTTGCCATTTAACTCCATTCTGTCGCACCTAACACAAGTATAATAGAATTCCAAACGACAAGCATGATCTGACTTTTCTGTCGGAGTCCGAATAAGAACTGGCCACCCACATGCACTATTATCTTCCACAGGAGGAAGGAATAGCTAGATGAGAATTTAGTATTTACAAAGCATACTTTTCAGATTTAAAAGAAAACTTCCTCAGCATAGCACGAAGAGGGAGCACATGAACAATGCAGATAGTGATGACAAAGAAAGAATTAACTTCATTGGTTCATTAAAAGGAAAACCTGTGACCTGTCTTGTAGCTGATGAAGAATTGATCGCCCCCGCAAATAACAAATCCACGTGCACCATGCCTGCATGATCCTCTAGAAGATATCTCAAAAGCTCACAATCTAAAACACAGGCTAAGCATTCAACACGACGCTGTTTCCCCTCTGCTTAGCATGCATAAGTGCCTCGCCAAGGTCCCAACATACCACTATCTAGCAAGTAATATCCTATAGCCCTGCCTATCCTTTTGCTCCTGTAGTTGGGCAGTTAACCAAGGCAGAATGGCCGTTATCTCACTTGGGTGTATAATACCGATCCCACCTCAGTGAATGACGAGTGGATAATGTGAGCTTCAAGCCGACTCAGATTTCTAAAGGGTTGGCATTCTCATCCATGATTTATGAGGATAACAGTGATATGAAGAGGCATGAACAAGCAACTAAACACTCGTGTCCATGGGATAGCAACCAAGTACACGCAGAAAGGTTGCGAATTCCTGCATAGAGGTAGTGAACTCGTCATAGTTGCAGGTTATGCCAGCATAAATGCAGAAACCACGTATGGGTAAACTACAGTTACCTGACCAATTTTCAATCTAAGATGAATATAGCTTTCCAATGGAACTCATCAATGTCAGCATAGAAAAAATAGATTAATGTACTTGGAGCGGGCAACAGTTGCTGTGATGGCCGTTATTTCACAGTCCGAACTCTGATTCGCTGATCTCTCTTATTCAACAATTGAAGTGCTGATTAACCAAATGCAGTTAAACATTTTTCGTTTTATTGTTGAAAGGTTCACCAACTTAATTGTCCATGGACCTTAGTGTTTTCATTTTCCTTCTCGGGTTTTTTTTGCAGCTGAAACTTATGAATACTTAGATAAGGCTAACAATCAAGCAAAAAGAATATCTCTCGTGATGAGAATGATGATGATAATACCTGCAGATGTCCTAGAGCATTTTGAGCACGGGTATCAGCCATAGAAGCCTCAAAGTCAATGTAAAAGAGGTAGTCAAAGTATCTGCCAAATTAGGGCCATCAGACCGCATATATTGTTTGACTTACTACACATAGAAGCATGCACTATACAGAGGGTGAGTGCAATGACAAAGTATGAATTTGACAATAGAGGAGTCAAACCATATATAGGGAAATCAGGATGCCCAAAAAAGGCAACACTTTGAAAAGGCAGCACACATTAACAATGTGGAGATCTAAAAATTTTAGAGGATTTATATAGAAAATGGGCATTTCCTATGTTTATGGATGTAACTATCAATAAATATGTTCCGTTGGGTCCTTTTCTGGAATGCCAAGACGATTGATTCTTTTCTGTGGGAGGAAGCCGTGATCTGCAGGTTAACATGGAGAGGGCGAAGTAATCTAAAAATTTTAGAGGATTGGCATAGAAAATGGGCATTTCCTATGTTTTATGGATGTAACTATCAATAAATATGTTTCGTTGGGTCCTTTTCTGGAACGACAAGATGATTGTTTCTTTTTCGTGGCTGGAAGCCATGATCTGCAGGTTAACATGGAGAGACTTTACTTCGCCCTTGGGAACAAAATAAATGTGGACAAAGCAGCTGTTCTTTCCCACAAAGATCTTTTCCTTTTGACTTGTCAAAAAGAAAAAAAGAAAAAATTCGTTTGGACATTTGCTGTATGACATATTTCCAGACATCTATGCTTCTAAATATCAGAACACAATTCAACTTAAACTACTCAACTTCAGAGTCCAAGACTCCCAATTTCCCTATTAAAATAATTCAAAAGGATGCAAAGTCATGCAGTATAGGATCAAATTATCTAATGGAATAGGAATCTAACAACTCACTTGGCACTTCCAGTATTGGAGTCATCAACAACTCTAAGCGGTCGCTTTCTCTGTGGCCGGCTTTCAATCTGACATTATGCGTTTCATATTCAGGTAAAAGTTTATTTTACCAAGTCACGCAAATCTAATATAAGCTAAAGAAAGCCTTGCAGACATACCTTTGTCAAATTTATGCCCCTCAAGGAAAATACAGCCAAGGCTTTAAATAACACACCAGGGCCTTCTTCCAAAGTGAAGACAATACTCGTCTGGGAGGAAGGGTGGCCAAATTAGAATTAAAAAAATTTCACTCAAAAATGAAAATAGGTAATGCATGTGTGTCCAAAGCTGCGAAATGTCACCTTAAAAGGTTTGTCAGTCCTTGGTATAATGGGATCTCGTGCTAGCACAAGAAAACGAGTGACATTATCAGAGTCATCCTGCAAGGTGCATAATTATTAGGTAGTGGAATACTAAAGAATGTGACTGCACTCATTTTGCAATAACATGTTCAAGTCATGTGAAGAGGTGAAGATAAGTCAGAAACTGGTACGATGTCCATGCATTGCTGTAGGATCCATCCACTACTAGCCTGCTTTGGTCATCAGTTCTACAAGAATCTCAACTAGCATTCTTCATGTTCTCTTTTGTTTAATTAAGAACATAGGTCCCGGTGACAGTTAGAGAATGAAACAGTGCCCACCGTAGATGGTTATGTGTTTGTATTTCTACTTCTTCTCTTCTTGTACTTATTCTAATAAAATAGAACAGTTCTTTAGTAGTTCGAGTTTTCTAATCCACCTCTTGGAACCGCCATTATCCTCAGTCAAGACTACAATGAATCAGCAAAACTTTTTCACGAAAACAACAAGAAGTCTTTACTATATTAATAAATACCATGTCAATCCTCCTCCACAGTATCAAATATACGAGATCAACACTAATTTTGATTTCTGTTAATAATACTTCTGCACTAGTTCTGCGAAGATCTAAACCACGAGAGAAGGCCAAGAAAACAAATGAAACTTTTAGAAAGCCATATTTCGTCATATCAGGGATAGGAATGAGAGAATTAATATTCTAAACAAAAGGAAGGAGCATTTGTCAGTGTAATGAAGTACAAGAAAAACAGTCACCTGGATTCTTTCTGCAAGTATATTAAGCCCATAAATATCTGCTGCCCGAGCACTTGCAACAACTCCAGCATCCCTCAGTTCATTCAATGCTACAAACTACCAAATCTAATGTCAAGAACAATCGGTACTGTTCAGTGCAGAAGAAAAAGGCAACCCAACTTATAATCTATGGCATACCTGAGCAGCGCCAGCTGTACTATCAACACTTTCTCGGGTAACACCTAACCCGGTCAAAGCATTATCGCTTAGAGAAAGCGCCTGCAAGGGGAAATGGATTTCGCAATACATAAAGGTTCTGTCTTTTGAAATTTCAGCCCATAATAGTCCTGCTGCTGATTGCATATACATCACATAAAGACATGATTAAGCATTGCTTTTTGACCGATCGGATAAAAATCTCACCTGTGGATGGCTTAAAACACGTTTTAACTGCTCTGCTCTAACACCTGGAAGAGCCAATAGACAGAGGTTGACAGTCATCTGAACTTCCCCTACTATGTGAAGTCTGTGTCTGAGAAGTAAATCATAGTTGCGGTGGAGGCTTCCGCCAGAAGAATTCTCAATGGGAAGAACTGCTTTATTAACTAACCATAGTTCGACAGCCTGCAAAAAAAATTAAAAAGGAAATGAGGAGGAAAGCTGATATCCATTGATATGTGTGACCATGAAATTGGAATTCATACACCAGGGCCAGTTTGGCAAATTGTACAAACGGTTGTGTTAACTAGTGCCCCCTAGTTAGGTGTGTGTATATATATACACACACACACACACACACACACACACACACATTTATATATGTATATATATATTGAAATGATTCAGTCTTCAAGGCACTGATTATGCATAACACGAGGGCAATCGGTGCATTGAAAGTTGAAAATTTTCTTAATTGGTTTGTTAACAAGTGCCTACACCAGGGCAAGTTCTCACACAGCTGAAAATTCTGTAAGATTGTTTAAATAAATTTACATGCTTCAGCATTTTGCAGGGTGGCACGTTTTCTCTTGTCATGGCCTTGAGAACTACAAAAAGATATGTGGTCACTTGCATTGCTACTTCTACGTGCAAGTATCTGTATGTTGATTCTGAACCTTAAAAGCATCTTCAAACTCATCACAAGGAACAGTCTCACAGTTGGGATATGCTTTAAGAGCAGCATCCTCGCTGAATGAACCAGGTACCCCCTGCAATGTGTTTTCAGCATATATTAGATCATAGACTCTGTCTCAGACAATGTATTCATCCTCATTTTACTCAACTTCATTTTCCTGTTTTCTTATGCTTTCCCCAACTCCACTGAAGCAAAAGGAAAAACTGCGCAAATGATTACCTTGAACGATATCCGCATTTTCGACTTATTCTCTGGAGTAGGAGAGAAATCAGAAACAGTCAAAGGCCCTGCATTTATTGGAGAAATAGAAATATCAGGATGCACGTGGTTAGACAAGGCAGTATAGATCCCATCACAGTATGCAGTTGATAGCAAAATCCTGTGAACCTTACACAACTTAACATCTTAAGCAAATTCTGGGTGACAGGTCAAGGACAGGCCAAAGTATAGAAAATAGAAAGTCGCTACAAGCTCAGATAACAAGACCCTGACAGGTCACCCTGGTTTGAAGAATAAACCTATAAAAGATGCTTATAATTGGGTCCTTTCTTAGATTGCTTCACCCCGTCAATGGAGCAGTTAAATTTAGAAGTCAGTTTAGCCTATCCAAATTATCATCTCTCTCCTTTGCTGGGATTGCAACATCTTCATCGTGAAACGTAAGTCCAATTACAGAAATCCATAGTTAAAACTTGTCCATCAGCATTACCAGCATCTATGCCCTCAGAAAGCTGAACTCACAATCTTTCACGCAAGTCGATTCCAATGTGAGCTTCAATCCCTATAGACAGTTTTGAAATTCCACTAGTATAAAACATTTGCAAATGAAATAACTGTATGCAGGCAAGCTCAACTCCATCACATAAGACCATGATTAAACACCAATCCAAGCTCCACAGGCAATCCATTTCTAATCTTTTACACCAAAATTTTCACACAAACTATTAGTTAGAAGTCGAAGCACGAAAAGAGAGACTTCAACACATCATGTGTAGCTCGGAACAATCACTTCGGATAGAAAAACAAGTAAACATAGGAAACTTTTCCATGTTACCCACTGGGAAAAGAAGCCAAGTCCTTGTGCAATCTCTTGGAAACACTCGTCTCCGTCTGGTCAACGACCCTGCGCAATTCAGTGGCCGACTTCGACGAGCCATCGTCCTCGGCGGACCTGATCGCCCGCCGGACCGACAACCCAGAAAAGCCACCGAAGCACGCCCATTTAAGCGACCAGACCCGTTTCGGCGCGACCCGAAAACGCCCACCACGACCCAGTTGCCAAACATCGCTGGCGCTCCCCAACACGACCGAATTTCGCACCGTCGTCATCGCAAAGAGAAAGGGAGCTCCCGACAAACGACCCTTCGTCGTCTACCGCATTAATTCGCCGAGGAAAAAGGAAGAAAAACGAATCCGCCGCGCCTTTGTCGCTGGAACGAGGGATTGAAAAACACGAATTCTTGAAACAGAGGATCTGGACAGGTGTGTCAGTGTCAGAAGGGGGTCCGACAACGTGGGCGAGAAAGCATACGAGCGCATGAAGCAGCACACGGCGGTGGGGAGCATTAGGTGAACATTTGTTTGTGCAGTGCACGTTTTCTTCTTGGAATCAGATTAGACTTGGATGGGTAGATGGATAGGCACGGACAAGTGTACACCACTTGTCTGCAATTTCTCCATTAGCAAAGCTATGGTGGGTTTGATCAAAGCTTTAGGTACATAGAGAAAGTTGTTGAGAAAGTTCTTGAGATGGTGAGGGAATACTTTATGGCAGTCCATACATGAAATATTGCAATGAACAAACAGCCAAAAAGTCTTTTTTTTTTTTTTTATGGAATAAGTACACCGGAAGTCCGCCCGCAGCGGCTGCGTTGGCTTGCGCTCTTGTCCCCCCACGAGGGGATTGGAGTTCGAACCCCAGCGTAGTCGTTAGGGATTCTTAAATGTGGCGCCGTGGTGGTGGGTCCTGCGCTAGCGTCAACCCAGGTTTACCCCTCCGGCTGTCGGCCGTGCGGGGGGTTCTTGGGTTATAAAAAAAAAAAATAAAGTCCCGAAACTTGTTACGAAAGTACTATTGAGCTCTACAACTTTAAAAAAAATGCATTCAAGTCCTAAAAATTATTACGAAAGTGCAATCGACTTTTAAAACTTTTTAAAAAAGCAATTAATGAAAGGACTTTATTAAATCAATTTAACAAGCTTTAGAACTTAATTGCACTTTTTGAAAGTTTTTGTGACTCAATTGCATTTTCGTAATAAGTTTTAGGAGTTAGTTGCACTTTTTAAAAGTTTTATGCAATTAACAAGTTTTAGAACTTCAATGCACTTATCCCTTTTTTTTTATTAACGGCTTACGATAGCTGTTATTCATAATCCAGCTGTTATCAAATCTTTTGAGAGAAATGGTTTCTTCAAAAATGGTGGAAGCTTTAAGATGTAACGATTATTTTTTTTCATTAAATCAAAGGAGGAGAACCTAAAGCTTTCTCGTCTTTTGCAATCAATATGATGCAATGCAATGGAACTGAAAGGCCAAACCAAATGACATTTAGGAAATATTTGTTTTGGTTAGACCAGTTCCTTTGCGCGCGCTATGTTATGTGCTCGATTAGAAATAGATGTTTTCTATGATTGTTAACCGACATCATGGATATGAACTTCAAAACAGAGGAATAGGGGGTTGTCGGTAACAGTGTGGAGATATTTATCCTTTTAATGATATATAATGTTCTTTTTTATTTTTCTATATATTCGAGAAGAGATTATTAGGGTGTCATAATCATATGAAAAGTGCACGCCAACTTTGATGGTCGGTCCTGTAATATTGATCTAAATATTACCATATGTTTATATCGAAAGACTTTAGTTTTGTCAAACAAATATTCTTTTTTTTCTCCCGTTTGACCTTTCGGTGATGATATATTATGCGATGTTTAAAGAAAAAAAGGGATAAATCGTAGTCGCACCTGATGACTGATAAAAAGAAGAAGAAGAAAAGTCAACAAATCAAATATTTGCTTTGCCCAGGTTGCCTTGAGGACAACCAAGTCAAGATTTTCTTTTCTTTCTTTTTCTTTTGCCTCGAGGGTGAACAATGTCCAGCAACATTTTCGAATTTGTGTTTAATGTCGATAACATATGTTCATTATGCTCCGAGTAGTTAGGCCACTATTAGAAGCTAAATTTGTTCGATATATGTTGACACCTAAATTTTGACTAACCATTTAGTGATTAATTGCATAGAAAATTAGGGATTAAATTTTAACCCCTAAACAAAAACGTCAAAATCGCATAGCATATAGTTTAGGATCATATAATTTAATTGCATTCCGCATCGGACCGGCGGTGGCGAGAAAGCTGAAAATTCATCGCGTAAACCGAGCTCGAGCACTCGGCTCACTCAAGTTATTGGGGGCCAAAATTCACAAGTCTAAAAGGCTTTGGTTGTTTTAATTTGAGCTTAAATCAGCCCGAATTAATTTAGCCCATTTGGAATTAAAATTAAATTAAATGATAAAGTCTAAGTCTAAGCCCATTAGGACTAGAAAGCCCAGTTAATTAACCTATGCGTCATAATCATGGGGCTCTCATAATTTTCACGACCACAGAGAGAGTCATCCGTGAGAGGAAGAGAGCGAAAACACATGTGAGAGTGAGAGTGCAAGAGAGAGAGAGAGACGGTCGCGCACGCGCCAACCTTCACCGCACCGCCTCGTGCCCGTGCCGTGCCACCACCTTCCTCGCGGCCAGACCTGCAGCCACGAGAGTCCCGAGCCCGCCTTGCCCACTGCCAGCGCTATCTCAGCCCAGGCGACGAAGCTGCTGATCCGACTACGAAAGAGCGACCCGAGCTACCCAACGATGTTGCTTCTCTGCTGCTTTCCCCCTCGACGACGGTCTTCGTTCCACACGACGAGTCAAACCGTGAACTGCTTGTCCGTGAGCGAGTCTCATCCTTCAACGGCTCTTAGCGGGGTGTCCAACTCTTGGACGACCATCTCACACCCTTCGTGCGCACAAGAACAATGGCCGAGTAAATCGAAAACAGAAAAGAAAATAAGAAGCGGTGGATTGTTGAAGAACGTGGATTCCTCGGTAAAAAACTCACGGATTGGTCAAGCTTGGAATTAGTGGGCCTGCACGATACAGGTAGTGATCTTGAAGAGAAGAAAAATTATAAGTGGAAGGGCAATTTGCGAAGTCATTGAGGTCCCCCTTCCACGAGTCAAGCCGAGGCATCCATCAAGCTCCATCATCTGCAGATTTCCAAGCCGAGCCAAGCACTAGCAGCAACCCGCCGTTGGTCCCCTGGCCACGAGCCGCCGTCGGCCACATCGTCCGATCCACGATCCCGATTTACTGGTGATTCAAATTTGGAAGTTATCCGCGAAATTAGGTAAGATTATTCGAATATTTCTTTTAAATATTTAATTTCCTAGTTTTCGGATAATTTAGATATTTCGTAAATATTTTGGTGGATAGCTATATATTTTAGGATAATTTTGTAATATCCACAATATTCGAAAACACCCAAAATTAGGAATCATTCCTAATTTGGCAACGTATCTGGACGACTATCCGACCTTATCCCTAAGGTACGATACGCGGCGATACGGAAAATCGTTATCTTATCCATAATCATTTGGATATGATAATAAATTTTATTTGATTTCCAAATTTGAACAATCAGTTTTCCGTCGATATCTATAACCCTATAGATATGACCGTTAGCTTGATTTCTTTGCCTAATTTGAATCTGATAAGAAGAATTTTGCGGATTGCGTGGATTGTTTGAACGTGATTGTTATCTTTGTTTGATTGCTTTCCTTTTAAATAAAGAAAATCCAAAAATTTGTTAGTTAGATTTAAATTAGAAGTTTTGCATGTTTAGGGAACCCTAAATGTATCTAGAAGACAGGATAATTATTTAATTTAAATTAGGACTTGAGATAATTTATTTCCTAGTTTAAATTAGGTGTTATTCTAATCCTAATAGAATATTTAGGATATTCAATAATTTCGAATTTTAATAAAAATCCCAAAAAAAAGAATCACTTTAGGATAGATCAAATCATTTTCTCTAGGATAGATTGCATGTTAATTTGAGTAATTTTTTGTTCCGAATTTCATTGAAAATACCAAAAATAAATCATTTGTCCGTCATTAGAATTAGGTCACGTCATCGCATGACATATAGTTTGCATGTTAGGCTGCATTAATCGCATGTTAATTTTTGCACATCATTACATATAGGTTAGTTTTCATTTAAATAAGTGAATCCAAAAAAATATTGAGTGAACTGCTTGTTAATTAGAAATCATATTAGGATTGTTGATGTGATTTTCTAGCTAACAATGCAGATGCTTACGTTGCTTCGAGGTAAGTAATTCTCCCAATCTTGCAATTTATTTAATGTTTTGATTATTGGGTGTTACTTTGGTGGTTTGCGCACCCGCATGATCACCTCACATGCTAGTGACTAAATTAAAATTGATCTAGACTGCCTGCATAACATTTTTGAAAAGAAAAGGTACCGAAAGAGCGTTAGACTAGATCTAGCGTAATCAAGTCCCCGAGCTTAGAATCTCTGGTTCGTAGGAATAAAACATATCTCCCTATGTTTTATTTAGGTTTCTAATCGACCTACTACAAATAAATTAGTGGCGACTCCGAGCATGAAAACTTTTGTATGTTAAGGACTTAAATCCTAAGTTGTGAATTGGTAGGGCTTAGGAGGGCTCGAGTTAGACTTAGTCTTAATAATCCATTAACCTGAGAAATTTTAGGTCGCGACAAAATTACACCATTAATAACAAATTTTCATCATGTAAAATCCACGTGATATATAAATAGAGAGTGTATGAGGTGTCCAATCATTGTCCTCGAGGATAAGTTAAGCCCTCCAGATAAAGAAGAAGTGTAGCGGCTATCTTTCGGGATTCAATGGACCTTCCAGGTAGTGTTAACCTCGCTTTTTAGATAGAATGGGAGCAACACGACATGCAAAACCATCGGAATGCAAAAAGCAAAGAGCATTTCGTGTGTGAAGAAGATCTTTGGGTGCATAGTTTTGGGCAAATAAAAATATAAACAAAGCAGTCGGTATTTAATTTATAGAAGAAAGACCTAGTAAATGAGCAATGACTAGTTTGTCTAAGAATAAATATTACGACGGCCGGCGAAATAATTAACCAATGGCTTGTACATTAAATTAGTCATGATTAGTATAAGGGAAAATGACATAAATGATCATTAAACTTTGGCTCAATGTATAATTTAGTTCATGAACTTTCAATTTATTCAATGCGGCCTCTGAACTTTAGCCTAATATGCAATGTGGTCCCTGAACTTTTAATTTGTTCAATATGGCCTCTGAACTTTTGGTATATATTCAAACTAATCCCTGGATTATATGAAAATATTCAGAGATCACGTTGAATAAATTAAAAGTTTAGGAACCACATTGCACATTGAGCTAAAGTTCGGGGACCGCATTGAAAAAATTATAAGTTCATGAACCATATTACACATTGGGTCAAAGTTTAAGGATCGTTTGTGTCATTATCCCTTAGTAAAAAGGCAACAAAGGTCAAACGTCACATGTATGGATGTTTGATTTTATAGTAGATAAACCTCTTTGAAATACATTCTACTTAACAACCCCTCACATATTTCAAAAAGTTTATGGGATAATGATACAAATGTCCTTGAACTTTACCTCAATATATAATATGATCCCTAAATTTTTAATTTATTCAATGTTTGATTTTATAGTAGATAAACTTCTTTGAAATACATTCTATTTGTTTCATTTTACCAAAGTTTATAAAGAAGAGAAAAGAACAAGGTCGGTTTCACAGTGGAGTGCAACGCATTGAATCTGATGTCTTTTGGACTATGAACCAATGACCCTCGTTGTAAGTTAGAGTTCTCACTAATCACATTACACTCCTACAATTCTTTTTTTTTCAACCCGGCTTTGCAAGAATAGCCGTGCACATTTGGTTATTCAAAAGTGCTATAAAGATTTGGCGATGAATATCATGGAAGTAACCCTACTCCACACTTATATTAGGTGATTCCATCAAGTGTACATTGCAAATAAATAAACTACCCTTAAAGGATATGGGGTTCTTCAAGAGCTTCACTCATCGTCGCTTAATTCGTAGTTTAGCACCAATCACATACACCACAGGTGGAGGGACTTTAGTACATTTTTGGTGCTACAGGATCAACAAAATAGCTTGTAATTACACATATAAACTTATTTCATGGTTGGGTTACCACCGTAGTTGATATTTCGAATTAGCATAAATCCACTTCCCCTTGATGTTTCAAATATTTGCTTCCTTCGCAGAACTTTAGTCAGAGGATTGGTCAAATTCATTTCTGACTTCACATATCGATCAACATAATTCCATATTTCAGGAGTTGCTTTATGATATTATGTTTTTTTTTTAATAAGCCTTTTCCTACAATTGTAAGTTTTCTTCTTAGCAACAGCTACTGCTACTTTGCAATCAGTACACATAGACACATAGAGCGTTGGTTTCATGTCTAATAGAATTCCCTAGTAGGAATTTCTCAGCCTCACTACTACCTGACTCAAGAAGTCAAAAGTAGATCTTGAAAGAATAGTTTGTTTGGTCGATTTCCAAGATACTGTAACCCAATCAACAATAAATCCATAATCACTTGTGGGTTTGATCTGATCTTAATCTGATATCCAGTTAACATAATTGTATCTTTCTAACACAGCAAAAAACCATTATACGATAACCATAATTATTCCGTGACTCATCCAAACTAGCGAAGCATCCTAGAGTGTGCGGAGAATATAGCATGTACCCATGCTTCCATATCGTATGATACCATCATATTGTAGTCCATAACATATAATCATCTTGATAAACGAGGCATCCCAACAATGGGGGCATCACTCTAAAGAGCGGAATAGGCCATGGCTACATCCCATATCATATGCAAACACGCACCATGTCATAACAAGTCATTTAAGATGCATGCACATAAGGTCAAACATATAGATATCCATATTCATGTTCATGCTACAAAATGAAACGACCCAATCAAATACATTTATATTTTAGATCATATATATATATATATATGGAGTTGGGGTGACGTCATCCTTGAGTGAACCGACAAAATTCGATGACTAATTCGCATCGAAAGGGGACGGATCCCATCTACAACCTACTTGGCACCTTTCATTCTATTCTTCTACGTCTCTAGCTTGGTGGCTTTAGGGTTTGCCTTTGTGGAAATAGTGGGGAAGACTTATATAGATTATATTATCACGTCACGACCAGCTAAGTTTCTAATAAAAACAACTTGAGCAGATCAATATGTTTTTTTTCTCATAAGGTTGGACCTGTATTCAATTTTGCTTGTACAAACATGAAACGACGGGACCCACGGGTTGGTGGTGAGGCGGCCTTTAGCCCCCTCCCCCGTCAGCTTGACGTCTCCTCGAGTATTCTTACTTTAATCATTTTTAAGAACATTATTTTGTCTAAGGAAAATTTGGACGTAATCTTTTTTCCATCTGGGACTCGCTCCAATGCATCGTCGCCCATCGAAAGGACGGAGAAGAGAGACAATTTTAGGGTTTTTCCATCTACCACGCGCCTCCCATGGGAACAGAAAATAAAGGCTAATATCTTTTGTTTCCTTATAAAAGAGAGAGAGAGTTGCTCATTAATATGACAACCCTCAAAATTATTTTGATCGACACCCATCTCTTCCTTATGTGGATTCTCTCTCTCTCTCTCTCTCTCTCTGTACGAGGGTTGCGCTCGAGCTTGGTGTAAATGAGGAGATCAACAGACAGCAGGAATGAGAACGGAAGGGGGAGATAGACAATTGAAGGTTGGATGGAGAGAGATGGGAGTGGAGAAGTGTGGCAAAAGATGAAGAGACTTGAAGATGTTGGCGCGCCTCAAACTAATGGCGTGGTTAGAAATTGACTCTTCTTCATCCCTAACCCCACCTTATTGGCTTGAGCCGCGTCAATATCTCCTTCTTTCCACACACCTCTCTCTCTCTCTCTCTCTCTCTCTCGCAAAAGCTAGTTCTCCTTCTATGTGATCCATACAATCACAGGTATGTGGATCATCGCACTTAACCATACACTCTTCCTCAATCTTATGTTATCCATTGTTTTATCGATCCTGATGAATATGCCGAGGAAATTATATACACGCATGCATGCCTGCCTGCCTGCCTTTTCATGAGTGATTTCTCTGATTTACTTTGCTTTTGTGTGCATATATATATTTTGTCTGCAACGCAATACAGGTACGGTGCTCAAACTTTGGCCTTAAGCCTAGTGCTTATAGCGAGATTGGGTTAATTGAAATTGTAAATTAGGCCAGAAAATTAAACTTCCATGATCATACCTTTTAACTCCTCCATGTTAGCTAGGGTTTTCTGTTCTTGGAGCCATCTCGTGTTTTTCTGTGCCACGGAGAGAGAGAGAGAGAGAGAGAGAGAGAGAGAGAGAGAGAGAGAGAGAGGGGTGCATGTAACAATATGCCATCAATCAATAATGAAGAGGAAAGACGAGGGAAAGCTGGAAAAGATAGAGAGTAGGTGAGAAACGGGTAATGGGTCGGCCACCTCCATAACCTCATCTCCTCTCTCTAGCTTTTACCTAAAAATTTAGTTAAAAGAAAGGAAAAAAAAAACTCATCTTCCCACTAATCGCACGAAAAGGACCTGCCCTTTTATATAATTATCCAAATAATATGTCAAGTCTTCTTTGATCTAAAGCTAAGGTAGTCTCTATATTTTAGTTGAATTGGAAAAAAATGAAGCCAGTTGGGATGATATTGGCCCCTTGATAAGTATACCTAGGATCCTAAGGGTAGTGAGGATCGAGATTTGAAAAATAAATATTGTTGAAGGATCAAATTATATTAAAGTGTCTTCATATAGAGATTAGTCAGTACGAACTAGGAAGTTTTTGGTAACCCTTTCGGATATCTAATACAAAACCAAGGGATTTGTTGTCGATGGATGATGACATTGAGACGGTATGTTGTGCTAAGCGGCAACAACCATTACTGCGACGTACGTGAACTTGGGCCTACCAAACTCTGGTTTCAGTTGGGATTGCATTTATTTCTCTCTTGGGTCTACTTACTGACAAACCCAAGCATTTGTAGCAAACCTAATATCCTTAGAATTAATATTAACGTTTGGTAATTGAATTGCGCGTGAGTAGATATGTAGTTTAGTCGAATTTAAGCAGAACTTTTTAATGCAGTTTTGTAGACCAATTTACGAAATCGCAGCTATATTCCAATCCCTCTTTTGTACCAAGAGTCGGCATAGACAGAAGATTTAGATTGAGGACGACGAGATAAGTTGCATAAGACAAATTTTGAAATCCATATAAAAGATTCAAAGTTTAGGCACATTTGTAGTACTGGCCAAGGGGCGAGAGCCACCATCAACCCTCTGTGTTCGCCATTGTCAAGAGTTAAAGCATCCAAATGAGGATGCATTGCCCAAAAAGTGTAGGCTTATTGTGCTGACCAAAAAGCTTTTAAAACTCGCTAGTGTGCGCTTGCTCATATTATCAAGCTTGGATTCAGTATATGTCCAAGAAAACGAAAGGGAAAATACAGTCAGAATTTAGCTGGTGTAAAAGCATATCTTGCAGAAATATTCTAATGGACGGCAACCACGACAGAGAAAATCTTTCAGTTGGCAGTGGTTTCCACAGTTACCCATTTCTTGTATATGTACCAGTGCTCACCTCGAAGTGCTCTTGAAGGAAATATGTAATTTAATTTGGTTTTCCCTCTAGAAGATGTAAATATACGAGGGTTTTGCTGAGGAGATTTCTGGACAAGTGATATTCAGGTGGCTGTAGCTTTTGGTTTGTCATTTTCTAGAATCGTATGTTCCCCACTTTGAAGGGATGTTGGAACTGAAAGGAGATGCACTTAATTATTAGGGCAACATAATGACCATATCCCATTATATCATATCACATCAATTCCAAATATGGGACGCATGCCATGTTTTGACATTTCACCTCACTCATTTGTTACCATACAACGTTAGTTTAGGGGGGCGACCTAGTACAATTGCCAACTTTAAAGTGCAAAATGACAGAATTCTATATTAAAAAGGTCATGTCGAGCAAAACTCTATTATTTTGTGCAAAAAGATCAGGATGTGCAAACAGATCAGGATTTTTTTCTGAGCTGGCAACTTGGAATGATTGTGGATAAATTTCAAAAAAATTATTGGCAAAAAAAAAAACCTTTGACTAATTTTCAAAATAGCTAGGTAATTTACCAAGTGAAATTACTAACTTCTTTCAATAGTTTACTTATTACTAATTCTTATGCTAACTTACCATTTTTATTTGCATAACTTACTAGCCCTTCAAATTTACAAACTCTTATTTGAAATTAGCAACTTAAAAACTTTAGACATATTGAATTACCAACTTGTTTTGGGTCACCAATTTTCATTAGAATCATTTGTCGATGTTTGATTATTTTTCTTCATATTTACCAACTTTCTATTGAATTATCAATTTTTATTTGTCTTGGTTAGCAATTTCTTAAATTTACCAGCTCTTTTTAGAAATATATAAACCAAAATTAACATGACTTGTAAACTTTTCTCCGCCAAAATTACCACATAATATTGGGTTATTAACTCTCATTTGAGTCACTTATCGATGTTTATTTTTTTATTAAATTTCCATTTGTTCTTGCCGTTTACAAGCTTTTATTGGCCTTTCCTAGCAACCTCAAATTTACCAAATCTTAATGAAAAACCTTAAATAGCTAAGCTAACTTGGGTTACTAATTCTCAGTTGAGTTACTTACAAAGGTTATTTTTCTTTTAAGACACCTTTTTGCAGCTTTTACCAACTTTTATTAATCTCTCTTAACTACATCTAAGTTTACTAACTACTATACGAAATTACTCATTTTGATTTAAGTCGTTCGTCATTTATTTTCTAATAACTTATCAACTAGCTATTTACCAACTCTCGTTTGAGTTAGGGTGTGTTTGGCAAATATTATGTTTCCGGAAATAATTTCTGTTCAGAAATGATTCTTTTTTATTCCGTGCCTGGGAACAATTTCTAAGCATTTGAAGGTGTTTGGTAACTGCCCAAAATTTTTATTCTTCGAATAGAAAAAGAACAGAAATGCGTTTGGTAACTACACAAAATTTCTTTTTATTAATAATATTTTAAAATTTTTAATATTTCTTTTTTTTTTCTTCTTCTTCCCCTTCCTTGGCCATGGCCAGGTCGCCGACGACCGGCCACAGGCTAGGGCTGACGAGGGCATCGCGGTCCTCGCCGACTCCGGCGAGGGCGGCTCGTGGCTTGGGCGAGTGCCGCCCTAGCCGAATCTGGCCAGGGCAGCTAGCTGCCTGGGCAAGGACCACCCTCGGCAACCTGGGTGAGGGTCACCCTCGCCAAATCTGGCAAGGGCCGCAACGCCCTCGCCAGCCCTGGCCTCTGGCCGGTCGCCGGTGGCCGGCGATCGGCCACAGGCCATGAAGAAGAAGAAGAAAAAAAAAATCTTTTCCATTTCTCATTCTTGTTCCCATAATCAAGAAGCAACATTTTTTTGCTTCTTGATTCTATTCCAAAACTGATTCTGGGAACAAATGTTTGCAAATTTGTGCCTAGGAACAAAAAATTTACCAAACGAATTTTTGTTCCAAAACTGATTCTGAGAATAAAAGAATAAATATAGTTACTGTTTGGCTGGTTGCCAAACGCGCCATTAATTGTCAGCGTTTATTTGCTTATTCTTTTAGTTTACCAACTTTTTTCTTAGGTTACTTAATCGATAAAAAATTGGTAAGTCACTCAAATGCATTATGGTTGCTAATTTTATCTAATAATTAGTAAGTTCAATGTATTGGTTAGAAAGATAGAAGTTGGTAAAAGATAAGGATGATTTGTTTGCCGGAAATAAGAGAAATTTGTATTTTAATGAAAACCAGATAATGTTGGTAACTAACTATAATAAGAGTTTGTAAAACCAAACTAATTGGTACCTTAATATATAAAAAGTAAACATTAACAAGAGAAATTAATAATTAAAAAAACACCGGTAACTATCTCAATGAAGAAATCCTACATAAAACTAGTTTGTAACTTAATTAAACAAAAGTTTGTAATTACTCTAACTGATTTTGGTAAGTTCTATAAAGAATTGGTAAATTTAAAAGCGGGGCAAAAGTTGGTAATCAATAAAAAAAAGTTGGCAAAGTTTAAAATAAAAGAAAATAAATGTCGGTAAGTAACTATATTGAAAGTTGGTAACCTAAAACTAATTAGTAAATTAATTAGAGAAATTGGTATGTCGCTTATATAAAGGTTTGTAAGTTCATATGATTGTTGGTATATTTAAGGCATCGTTAAAAAAAATATAAATAAAAGTTAGTAAAAGATAAAGAAGTTTTTTTTTTTGTTAGAGATAATTCAATCAAAAATTTAATAGAAGCTAGTAATTAATTCAAATAAGAGTTGATAACTCAAGACTAGTTACTATGCTAATCAGAGAAAAGTTAGTAACCCCCCAATTAGGGTTGGTAGTTTAAAGAGTTGATAAATTTAACAGGTTGATAAGTTGGTAAATTTTCTTTTAAAAAAATCATATCAACGTTGGTAAGCAACTCAACTGAAAGTTGGTAAACCAAACCTAGTTAGTAATCAAGAGTAAACTTCGTAGGTAATACAAATAGAGATTGCTAAATTCATGTAAGAGTTGACAAATTTGAGACATTTGTAAGAAAGATAAATAAAAAAATCTGTAATCGACATCAAAAGTTGATTATTTCCATAAAATCAAATAAAAGTTCATAAGTAACTCAAATGAGAGTTGGTAGTCCAAAATAAATTGGTAATTTTATTTGAAAAAAAGCTCGCAAAATCGCTCAAATAAAGATTAGTAAATTACTATGAGAGTTGGTAAAATTTAAGGTGTTGGCAAGAAAAACAAATAAAATACAAGAAAATTTTGCAAACTGTCAAAAGAATTGGTAATTTCACAAAAGTGTCATTATGTGACTAGCAAGTTTTTGTTGGGTGGCCATTAATTTATTTTATCAACATTTTTTTATACTTATCAATTTTTTCAGAAATATACCAATACAGAAAAAAAAAACACTTCTTTTAGAACGGAATTGTAGAATCATCCCACGATTGAAATCGAGAAATGTTAATTAGATGGTATCCTCAGGGCGTCGCATTTGTTAGGACTCATTACCATGCACTTATGTTGCAATCTTATAATTTTTAGTTAGCTTAACGAACGTCTTCATAATATATTTATAAGTTACCCATTGTAGTAACACTTTTGTAATACTAGTACTAGGAATGGATGCTCTGGTGAAGAGACACAGCTTTATAAAGGGTTTCGTTGAAAGAGATAGATAACACTTAAACAAATGTTGAAGTAAGAAAAAATGACATAAATGGTCCTTGAATTTTGGTCTAATGTGCGATGTGATCCTTAGACTTTTAATTTGTTCAATATGATCAATCAAGTATTGGTAAATATTTAATGCAGTCTTTCCGTTTACTTAAACGACAAATTAGACGTTATTTGATGACATGGATTATAATATCATGATTTTATATGAATATTTTATATGGATAATCTATGTGTAACTCTTTTTTTGTCCACCTTTCAAATTTAACAGATTAGAAGTCACATCCACGGATTCCATTAACTTAAATTAATGGAAGGACGATAATAAATATTTTCAAATATTTTAATATAATTTATGGACTATATTGAATATTTACCTATAGTTCAGAGACCGCATTGACAAATTAAAAGTTCAGAAACGACATCGCATATTAAATCTTAATTTAAGGATCATTAAACCACGGAAAGGATTTGTGAATGTTTGGAGATTAATGAAGAGACTTTGATACTATACTAGGGTTTAAGACATACAAATGATTTAGGTGGCCAATATATCTACTCACGGAGAAAAAGTCTTTTGAGTCTTTGATTGTTCCATTTATATCCTACTTGGCGCTGAGGTGAGAGTAGCGTCATCCCTTCGTCACCCGATGGTCCATCTCAACGAAATCATCTTCTCTTTAAGCAGGTTTCGATGTGAATAGATTTCCATGTACTTTTGTCATTTTGCCTTGATTAAATTCCACTCGTTGCCCCCCAGTTCTTGTCTTGATACCCAAGATCGTGATAAGGTCAAGATCAGGAGGCCCACCCTACTGATATGCTCGGATTTGGAAAATCTTGGCTTCCTTCGTTGTTTCTTCTACTGACTCTGTTTACTTCCCCGATGTTGAGATCTTTTCAACAGCACCCGAGCACGACGATACACTTACCATCGAGGTCGTTGGCCTGATTAATTAGGGTTTAGGGCACGAAACGCCTTCTCTGTCTTCGGTGTTCATGAGTTAGAATCTGCCTGAGATGGTACTCATCATGAAACCATATGCCTTTGCAAGACAGTTCTATCCCGTTGGTAATTTGTTGGCGCTTGGACGACGAACTCTTCCTTAGCTGAGGTATGATCGAATTGAATGTATCATAATGAGTATAGAGTTCACATTATTAACACTCAACAATGTGGTCGACACTAATCATCCAATTCCCCCATCCTTTGTTAAGAAAAAGACAAGGGCACATTTGTTTCCAGGACAAAAACTATTGTTCAAGCCGCAACTTTTTCCTAGAATAACCTGAGGGTTGGCGCAATTGATTAGGACGATACGAGATTTCCAGGGATAAGGACACTAGGAGTGTCTTAACTTTCGTACGGCACTCACTTGAGTGCTATAACTTTTTTTTGGCTCACTTAAGTGCCAT